CCGCTCTTTCAGATATGCCCATTAACGCTGTCGCGGATGCAGCCACGAAGATGACGACACCAAACACTTGGTGAATGGGCAGGTACCATTGTTTTGTTGGCAGAGATAGGCCCGGGAATAGGAACGTAACGAGACCACAAAGATACTGAAATAAAGAATTTAGAAGAGAAAACTTAAATACCGCAGAGTGATTTATAGTCATTGATAATGTCTTGACTTACATTTCGAAGCCTGTACTGACTCAACGGCGTATGACAACGTATCATCTATGCTTATTGCTACTGGTTTTCGGCATTACCACTGATTAGGTGAGCAAGTATGCTGACCATCAAGGAAAAAACGGGCTGACGGTAAAAACAGTAGCTCAAGAAACCCTGTCTACTTAATCACATCCGATGCCAGAAACAGGCGATAACTTTTGACAAAAGCAATTCAATCACTGCAAATGAGTAAACTTCAAACCAAATGAAGGAAGGCAAACCATCCGTTTCTCGCAGGTTAATCAGTCGACCGCTTCAAGTCATTAGATCAACTAGCAACCAGGCTAGCCAACGGCATCCACAACTGAATAAACAAATTGCCATGGCAACGACAGCATTCAAAAATATGGCAAAAAGCCATGTCAACAAAACGAGACAAACTCTTCGCTCCTTCACCTTTCCGAGTTTTTATAGGGCCGAGAGCAGCGCGAACCTTTTTAAAGTACTGAAAACCCGACACAGAAATTTATATATTTCCTAACAGTTGACTGCAAATTTTTAAGGTTCATCAGAATTACCAACTTATTTTGGAAATGTGCTGCCAGCAAAGAAACTATCATTCGGCAAAGTTCTGTTGCACAAACACGTCCTTCTTGGAGTTCTGAGAAAATATTCCATCACATCGCAAAATCTCTTCGTCTTCAAATATAGCAAAGCGTTTAAAAATCCATTTTTTCTGAGTGAATTCTTTACCGCCTATATCTTATGCTAATAATCAGTTCAGTTGTAAGGCGAACCCATTGTGCTCATTTTTTGTAAGTGAACCAACCACTACTTGTTTCTTGGCTTGTTGCGCGGAAACACAGTGTTCTCAAATTCTTGCTCAAAGGAAACAGTAGATGGCAAAAAGGTTTTTAAGCAGTACCAGGGAGTTCAACCCGGTACCTCCAGTCTCGTACTTCCCGTATTACTCATCTTTGGAAACGTTCCTCCAAAGAGACTAATGGTTCACTCTCTGTATAACGGCTTAATGCGGGTTGAGTCAAGCGCAACACTGCTCTCTATTCGAGTCATAACTCCCTGCCAGTTTGGCAGCTGCACGTTAGCAGCTTAACCCGGCGGTGATGTGTTGTTGTAAAGTGACTGCTTTCTACGTGGGCAGCGAACAACGTCGAAAGTAAGAATGACCATCATGGTGAAGTACATTTTCTACAGTCTTTCCAATCGAAGATCTGCTGTGTAATCTAATACTCTAAAACATCACGTCAAAGAATCGATGCCTTTCATCCTAATAGATCGGATGAATTCTTTTGACAAGGAAAGAGAATACTCTGATTACTAGCTTGAAAAGTTCATAGCTATCTTAAACAACAATACCATGAAAGGTCGTGCAGTGTGTTCGCTGTAAAGATTTGGAGCAGATATGAGAAAACAACGAGTTCATTAAAATAAACAATGCAGATGAAACCTATTTATCGGGTTATCATCATCAGACTCATTCCATCCGCTGCTGGATGAAAGCCTCTCCAAGATATTGCCATGGACTTCTGTTTTGTGCGATTCATCTTGATCCAACGAACATCTTCGTCTCATCCTGTTATAAGTCTGGAGGTTTTCCTATGATTTATTTATTTTCTCTCGAAATCCAATCTAACGTCTCTCTAGTCCAGCGACGATCGTTTCTTTCTGAAGCGTAACCTATCCATTGCCAATTCAGTTTTCACAAGGATAGTGACATGACATCGCAGACTCCTGTTTGCACTGTATCAGCTCCTGTCCTCTTGTTCGTCTTCGAATGTTCTCTTATTATTGTCAACATAGACCTGTCCATGCTGATTTGCGTAATCTGCAAATAATCGCAATTGTGAATCGCTTCCAGGTAGTTATCCGATGTCAGTTGAAATTTGTGGCTCCAAATAGCACATCATATCAGAATTTCACTTCATAATAAACTGACCCTTCTGTAACATTATAATGAATGCATGTAGACGCAAGCAAAGAGAGCAACAAATGTCATTTGCATGTACGATGCCAGAATTCGTCCGTTTTACTGAAGGGTCAGAAACAACTGGCAAGATTTTATCTGTCATCTTTCAGTGCTTCGGCTGTTCAATGATATTAATTTCATGAGGACCCACCATCTGTAAAGAGATATTCAAGACAGGTCTACGCTGTCATCAATCATATTCAACCAGCAAATACAATTCTAAATACAATATTGTATTCATGTAGGAGAAAACAAAATGAGCAGACAAGAGTGACAGTCAAGCGATACCTGCATGGAAAAGAGCAGCACAACCGACAGACCGACCCAACTATGCAGCGAGTACAAGTTCGGCACACGGTTAAGCTGGTGTGACGTAAAGACGGCGTGCAGCGCAATGACGATCAGGGTAAAGACAATTGTATGAAGTATGGCATGGGCCAATTTCGTGACCATCTTACGTTCGTAGCGAAACACGCGGTAGATGAGGATTGCTGAAAGAATGAAGCAGTGAGAAACAACACAGAAGTTTTTTGATTAAACAATACGCCTTTGTCATTAAGTCATTCAGTAAAGGAGGAACCCATCACAAATTTTTCGACTCTTATACGTGGCAATTAGAAATAAAGGAATTGTTTACAGGGTCTATTTGAAAACAAATCAAGAATTTTTTTCTGCTGTTTCAACGTTTTGAAACAAATAATGTTTTGATTCATCTGGTTTTTAGAAACAGCATTTTCGCATATAATTAGTTTGCCTAAAATAGTATATTAATAACTTATTCTATTATTATGGTTTAGTTTCCTGCAGAGCCATTACTGCAGTAGGTCTAGATGCAATAATTCCACGATTCTGAAAGAAGATTAGGGGAAAGTTGTCCATTGGCAACAGTTTAGCATAGTTCCATGAAACTCATTCTTAATACCAAAAACCAAATAAAAGCAGTGATGAATACAACGTAAAGAAAACAATCCATTAATAAAATGTGGCACAACAATAATATAACTAAAAGTATACATCAAAATAAAACAAAATCGCCAAAAAACATATTTAGAAGAACGGGACAAATAGAACACTGATTGAAAAAATACAAAAGTGAAAAATGATTTCCTTCTCTGTTTCTGTTACCTTCGTTAGCAAAGGAATAAAATTTTTATTTAACCAACAAACCGATGTAACCGGAAAACGCTCAATATCCGAAAAAAAAATTTGGCACCGTCGCCGCCATACCTTCGCCAAAGACGAACAACAATCCGATCGACATGAGCAATGGATGGTAGTGAAACATCTGATCCGGTTGATCCGACCAGCCGTAGCCGCCGTCATAGTTGCCCATCCACAGAGCGATCAAGATCACTGATGTGATGCCGAACGTCTGCGATAGCACGAACACTTGTTTGAACCAGTGCAGGTCTTGCTGTTCTTCCAGCGCATCGTACCGGTCCAATACGATCGACATCACGTTCAAGTTCACGTTTACTACGTATCAGTAATCGACTATGTTCAACACAACTGAAGCAACACCTAAAAAGAAACAGAACATTTACATACGTAATGAATAAATGAACAAAAAGGGGGACATGGTTTTTGTTCAACGACTGAACAAGAGTCAGTGATCATCTTGAGAAGCCGAAGCGTCAGATCACATTAATCTGATTAGTCGGTCTTTGACCCTGATACCTTAGATAACGATGGCAATAACAATAGATTAAAATTATGAAGGTAATAGAGGGACGTTGATCCGTATTTCAATGTCATCAGAGAAAAGATCATTATTATTAAGAGTCATTGAAACCTGAATAGCCAGGATGGTGTGCCAACTGATCTACTGTATGTCAACGTCGTTTCAAACTAAAAAATTGAGACTGTAGGAAAAAAATCTTTTGCCTATTACAAGCTCAGCAGTAAGAAATTGAACAGGTAAAAGTTCTTTGAAAGAGGCTTTAAAACTTGCGGACGTTTGCCATTACATGAAGTTTCCATTGGAATAAATGGATAAAACCAATAGCTTTTTCCCAAAAAGAAGTTTTACATTACAATCATCATCCTCCCAATATTGTTATTCTATAATAATAAAAAGTGAACAACGGCTGCGGGCTCAATTTACAAACTGTCAAAGATGTGGAAAAGTTCAAATCAGTATGGGACGCAATGGTACGGAAATAAGCGGTTAAATCAAGTCAGTTCAGTTTATTGCCATTGTACGTAAGAACTCCCGACTTTCCAGTCAGAAAGGTAAAGCACAAAACAAAACGATAAATAGACAAGAGAGAAAACATGTGCGACAAGAGCATGCATGACAGATTCGATCGCACCAGGCCTCTGTACATACCCGATCCAGATCCCAAAGGGTCCAGATTAGATAAGGCATAATTGAGCGTTTAGACGTTTCATTTCTGGCATGCATATAGTTCATTTCGCTGTGGATCACCTTCACCTACGATTTACAGTTGGCCAGAACGTCATGCAGTTGATGGATACGATCATCAAGAATCATATTCGCGAAGGTTACCGTCCGTCGCAACTGCCGCAACGATCTGCCGATACAACGATCTCTCTGCTTTGGCAGAAAGCCGATGTAGAACACCAAAATCTTTAGTCAAAAGTGCTTTGAAAAACAAAGATATCGTATAAGTTACTACGACGCTACAAATCAGTGCCAGAATTGCCGACGAAGGGAAAATGGGCATAGCTGATTGCCGCTGTAACTCCGGCGTGCAGGGCTTGAGTTGCGAAAAGGAAAAACTTTTCTCTAAACCTCTAATCGTCATTAGCAAACAATTCATTTTACGTTGTTTCTGTGCAACCAACAGAGAAATCAAAAAACGCATTGATCAGTGGACAACACAGAGTAGATGGTGTTTTGGTTGTCGACGTGTATCGCCATACTGTCTAATGCGAGCGTCTGTAGTGCTGCAATTCGCCTTGCATCACCTGACTGCTGACTGTATAGCATGACAGTCAACTCGAGATGAAAATGCTGCTGTTATTGAAAAGCTTCGACAAAGCACTACAATGACTGGGGCGAACGCGATCCCCCCAGAGGCTAAATTACATCGCTGTCATACAATGACAGCCCATCACGTTTAGTAATGGTAGTTGCGAAACCAATCTGAGGGATGTGAAACTCTTCTTCGTTTAATGAGTCTACGAGGACAACGAGGAAAAATCGAAACCTAGTTCTGCGTATTTCGCTAAGTGGTTGCGTTTTTTCATCAGCCGGATTTATTGCCGCATCCAGAGAAAAAAGCCATCCGAAAGGGCTCTCATCATCAAGCTCGTTGCCACATATCAGCATCAAGCTTAAAAATAGTATACATCGATCTTCAGATGGACAAACTGTTACATATCAAAATCAGCATAATAACAATCACTGTCACCTTATCATCGTCATTCAGGTCAAATTTGTCGCGAACTTTATCATCTCGGCCCTGCTGCTCACTTCCATCATCAACTAGGCAAGTTGGCACCAATTTTACCGTTTTAAAACAACCTTATAGATCTGTTCGGTCGATAGAATGTCAAACTCTGAGTCGAGAGATCATGGGATCTAGCCCCAGTCAGGTCATTCGTTTAAATCCTTCCCAAGTAGATAAAAGAGTATCGCTTTGAGGGAAAAGAGACAAAAGGCCATACGCTCCGTTTGCCATGTACCTGTAGAAATTGCTTTTAAAATAAGGCTTTCCTAGTTGATGGCAGACAAACAGAGATCAACGATGCACCATAAGCCCAATAAACAGAAAGGTGTTATAAATGGCATTCATCGAGGAAGGGGAAAGAATGCAAACAAACCGAGAAGTATACATCAGCCACTAAAGCAATTTCGGAGCAATCAAAAGCTAAGGCCACTCAGTACTTAGGCTATGCTCGCTTTCTAAGAAATAGCCGAAAAGTTGGATCCTGATGAGCATTTGAAACTACGCACAAAATAAAAGAAAAACTGAAGGGCAGGGGACATTATTTATATTTATTTTAGTCATAATAGAAAGCAATATGCCAATCACATGAAAAACAGGTAAAATATAAATGAAATTTCGATATTGCGTGCCATGAATTTTGTGATGATTTGTCATAAATGCCTATATCCATAAAAATCGATGCAAATATATGTACGTATTTGTTACAACATTCACAAAATCGAAATCCTGTTTATATTTCATCCTTATTTTCGATGCAATTGGTTATGGCGAAAAAAAAATACGAACGGTATCGTGTATTAATAAGTTAAAGTTTTCTTTAAGCGTATACAGTAATATAAACATATACAAATGTCTAAACATAACGTTGACTTGAGTTTATGGCGTAACTATAACGACGACAAACCGGAAAATGGATCTAAGCATATACTTAATCGCTACTTCGTATTTCAGCAGCATGTCGAATTACAGAAAGATTTCGCTTATACAGGAATAAACATCATAACACGCCACTCACGAGAGTACGCCACTGAAGCGCACAGTTAGTAAGTCCAACGGTTCATGCTGCCACAAGCCCATCTTGAGAGAATTTCAATCGCAGCAAACTCTTTCTGGCGTTTCGACCATGACCCACTCTTTGCAAAAAAAATCAGATCAATATATTGATGGTACCTTCGAACTGTAAATCACATGCAAGTTGCCATGGAAATTATGTCCTTGGCAGGAACGAACAATCATATGACAGCCATCAATCAGTCATGCAAAACTTAATTTAATTTGAAAGTCCACAATAGATGACAATAGTTCATGACGGATAAAAACATGTTGGTAAAATAATTTATCGCAATTTCAAACTAAATAAATATAAATTTTTAAAACAGGTCAATTACATATCCAACATTTTCAATACCATAGAGCTGTGCCATCCAAAATGGTCTCCTAGGAAACAAGCAGCAAGGAGACGTTACAATACACCTAAAATTGTGGTTCTGAAGAAGTTGTAAGATATTTTACATACTCCGGTGTACGAACAGCTCATACTGTTTATGTGATAGGCTATAAAGAGTACAAGCTCAGTACATTATTTGTAATGATGTACATGTTCAAATACCAGTAAGCCACGGTCTGCTAAAATGCCCTCCTCCCAGACAATTAGGAGCAAGGGTCGGCAAAATACGGCCTGGAATCTGGTCTTGTTAATGCCAAGGGCTATGCGCTGTAAACATCAAAAACAAACGGCAGAAAAAATGGTAAGGAACGTTGAAGGCAGACCACTGAAGCGATTGGTTTACTGAGCCAATGCGCACACCGAAGCATTAGGCCAAAATTCGTTGCTGAAACGAATAAAAACTTTATGAATTATGAAAAACCTACGCCGTACCTAAATTCAAAACCAGCAGCGCAGGTAAGCAAGATCATTGACATTCTGTTCTGCCACCACCATGAGGTTCATTGAATTCGTGGTGTTTCTGTTCTTCACTCCTCGAGGACTGCTAACTGCACAGCATTTTCAAGCAACTCCCTAACTTCAGGGGAGGGTAAATCAAATTTTTCTGTTTGATGACTGATGACCTGACCAATGTGGAATAATTTTCTACCGTAATCAATTCACGTCTCTTAGAGATAGTCCCCACTCCGAA